ATCGTTGAACTTCATATTGTTTTTCTGCAGCCCACTGAAAGATTTGGTTGATGTCCGCCTGGAGCTTGCAGTGTCTGCAATGGAAGACACTGTCATGCAGATTCGGGTGTCATCTGCAAAGGAAGACACGGTGCTGTGGCTGACATCCTTGTCTATGTCGGATATGAGGATGAGGAACAAGATGGGAGCGAGTACTGTGCCTTGTGGAACAGAGCTTTTCACCGTAGCTGCCTCGGACTTTACTCTGTTGACGACTACTCTCTGTGTTCTGTTAGTGAGGAAATTATAGATCCATTGACCGACTTTTCCTGTTATTCCTTTAGCACGCATTGTGTGCGCTATTACGCCATGGTCACACTTGTCGAAGGCTTTTGCAAAGTCTGTATATATTACATGTGCATTCTTTTTGTCTTCTAGTGCATTTAGGACCTTGTCGTAGTGATCCAATAGTTGAGACAGACAGGAGCGACCTGTTCTAAACCCATGTTGCCCTGGGTTGTGTAACTGATGGGTTTCTAGATGGGTGGCGATCTTGCTTCTTAGGACCCTTTCAAAGATTTTTATGATATGGGATGTTAGTGCTATTGGTCTGTAGTTCTTTGCTGTTGCTTTACTGCCCCCTTTGTGGAGTGGGGCTATGTCTGTTGTTTTTAGTAACTGTGGGACGACCCCCGTGTCCATGCTCCCTCTCCATAGGATGGAAAAGGCTCGTGATAGGGGCTTCTTGCAGTTCTTGATGAACACAGAGTTCCATGAGTCTGGCCCTGGGGCAGAGTGCATGGGCATGTCATTTATCGCCTGTTCGAAGTCATTTGGCGTCAGGATAACATCGGATAGGCTTGTGTTAATCAAATTTTGTGGCTCTCTCATAAAAAATTAATTTTGATCTTCGACTCTCAGTCTGGTTAGCGGCTTGCTAAAAATTGAGTCATATTGGGACTTGAGTAGCTCACTCATTTCCTTGCTGTCATCTGTGTAGGACCCATCTTGTTTAAGTAGGGGCCCAATACTGGACGTTGTTTCTCGATTTTGATTTGGCATAGGAGAAGAAATACTTTGGGTTTCTTTCGATTTCATTTATGGCTTTTAGTTCTTCCCGCGATTCCTGACTCCTAAAGGATTCTTTTAGCTTAAGTTCGATGCTTGCTATTTCTCTGACCAGTGTCTCCCTACGCATTTCAGATATATTGACCTCTTTTAGCCGCTCTGTTATTCGTTTCCGTCGCCTGTAAAGGGAGCGCCTGTCTCTTTCTATTTTACATCTACTCCTCCTTTTTCTTAGAGGAATAAGCCTTGTGCATACATCGAGTGTCACCAAGTTAATCTGTTCTAGGCATAAGTTGGGGTCTGTGTTGCTTAGTATATCTTCCCAGCTTATATCGGTTAGGACTTGGTTTACTTGGTCCCACTTTATGTTTTTGTTATTGAAGTTGAATTTGGTGAATGCTCCCTCGTGGCTAGTCTCATTATGTCGGTCTGGGGCTCCACGCATACATGTCTGAACCTCAATTATGTTGTGATCTGAGTATATTGTTTTTGATATGGTGACATTTCTTATCAGATCATCATTGTTAGTGAAGATGAGGTCTAGTGTATTCTCCAGTCTAGTAGGCTCTATTATTTGCTGGTTTAAATTGAATTTTGTGCAGAGATTTAAAAGCTCGTGTGAGTGTGAGTTTTCATCAGAGCTGCCTCCTGGTGTTATTACTGCAACAATATTATTTGCTATATTCCTCCATTTTAGGTGCCTTAAGTTGAAATCCCCCAGGAGCAAGATGTTGGGTGCAGGAGCTGGAAGATTTTCCAGACAGTGGTCAATTTTTAACAGCTGTTCCTGGAATTGCTGGGATGTTGCATCGGAGGCTTGTAGACTACCACAATGACTAGGTTTTGGTTCTCGACCTTTACTGCTAAAACTTCCACTACATCATTTGAGGCATTAAGCAGTTCTGTGCAAACAAGTGACTCTGCAATGTACAGGCCAACCCCCCCCCCCCCTTTTGCCTGTTCACTCTGTCACATCTGTATAGGTTGTAACCTGGGATCCATATTTCGTTGTCCAAGTGATCCTTTATGTGGGTCTCAGTGAAAACCGCGAACATTGCCTTTGCCTCTGCAAGCAGTCCACGGATGAAAGGTATTTTGTTGTTTGTTGCTGGCTTTAGACCCTGTATATTTGCAAAGAAGAATGTCATCGGACTGGTGGTATTGTTGGTACTGGGGGGGGGGATTTTTTTTCCGGCATTAGTATCTGTATCTGTTGGTTTGGAGTGGAGGCCATCGACTGTGGTTCCACTCCAGGAATGACTGGATTTGGTGTACGATTTCTGCCATTTCCTGCCAGTTTTTTTTCCTTCCTGGCACTAAAAAACCTTTCCCTCTTGAGTGGCTGTGGCTACCCAGGTTTTCTTATGGCCTGGATGTTTTGTATCTTTCTGTCCCCTTTAGATGGTGTGCCTGGCAATTTAAGTTATAGCACAGTCTTTCCTGTACTGAAGAGGTACACAGTTCAGGGTGAAAAAGCTTACAGGAAGGGAGTTTGCATTTTCTTGTTGTCATATGGGCATGGCATTTTCTAGGGTGGTCATAGTTGCACGTCCCATCTGTTTTTCCAGATTTCCCATGCCAGCAGATACCAAGTGCATAGTATGTGCACAGGCTTGGTTTCCGTTTGCCTTGGGTTTCTGTGACTGTATTCCCTGTTGGTGCATGTTTCCCTGTCTTACTTCTATCCTCCCTAGCACCAACAATGGAGCTCCCACCAGTTGTTTTTTGGTAATATATCCTCACTATTGCTAGTGGAGTCCTCTTGTTTGCTATTTCCTGCGGTATTTCTAGTTTGCAATATTGGTTTTATCTTATCTTTGACTACACTTGTTTCCCTACTATGGCTCCTGTCCCCTATGAGGTCATTTATATGTATTCCTTCCTGCGTATAATTCCCGACTACCTGGACAAAATCTCCAGCTTCACCATTACTGTCTCCCAGGACAGCATCTCCAGCTTCACCATTACTGTCTCCCAGGACAGCATCTCCAGCTTCACCATTACTGTCTCCCAGGACAGCACCTCCAGCTTCACCATTACTGTCTCCCAGGACAGCACCTCCAGCTTCACCATTACTGTCTCCCAGGACAGCACCTCCAGCTTCACCATTACTGTCTCCCAGGACAGCACCTCCAGCTTCACCATTACTGTCTCCCAGGACAGCACTATCAGCCCCACATTTACTGACTACCAGGACATCACCTCCAGCCTTACAGTTTCTGACTACATGGCCAGTATCAAGGGCAGTACCATTCAGCCCAGACTTTTTATGTTCCCATCTGTTGTAGAAAGCTTCCAGTTTTTTTATGAAAGCAGCTTTGATGTTGTCCTCTTTTAATACCCTTGTGATTTTAGTCCACAGATTTATCTCATTTGGGCATACCCAAAAACACTTCCCTGTTTTAACACTGCTTGTAGCTAGTTCTTGGATAGCTGCACAAGGGGCGTGACACCAATTTCCACAAAAATGACAATTTACCCAAGTGGAAGCCCGTTTGTTTGACTGACCACAGACTACACACAGCTTCATAATGATTTGAATGGTTGATTTACTGCAATTCTACTACAACCTCTTGAATATTCTATTAATAACCTCCTTAAATGGAGCTCTAGCTATTTGTATTTCTAACTGTTTTTGTATATTGGACAGCTTACCTTCGAGAAAAGTTGAGTAATATGGATTATTTCTAATGGTTTCCTTCCAGCTGCTGCCCAGGATGTGACTCAACACATACCTGTTTGCTGCTAGGTGAACAAGAGCAATTATCAGATATAAGGCGTGGAAAGTCCTACCAATGAAATACCAATAACAGTATTATTATTATAGTAAGGGGAAGCGCTAAACCCGTAGGATTATACAGCGCATGGGGGGATATGGAAGGCATTCAGGCTTAATTCGGGGATTATTATTATTATAATCAAGGGGGAAGCGCTAAACCCATAGGATTATACAGCGCCCGGGGAGGGATGTGGAAGGCATTCAGGCTTAATTCGGGGAACTGGAGCACAGATCCAATTCCCTAAATCAAGAGCCCCTCACCAACATCAAGGAACCTTCCCTGAGGGGACCAATAACAGTAACCTAGGTACATTTTTATATTGGGGGAAATGCTAAACCCTTAAGTTTATATAGGCACAGGTACATATAAGGTCAATTTTCATACAGCGTGAATTATCTAGGGTAACTCAAAAAAAGCCAGTGACTTATTTCCATTGGGGCCAGACAGACCTTAAGGAATGTTAAATAGTTAGGATTAATCCAAAATTTCTTGGATCAAGAGCCCCTCACCGGGAGGGGTGCGCTGTGAGGTAAACTTTTGTTTCATTAACAAAAAACTTACTACGTCAATGTACAGACGTAAATTATACAGACGCTGTATGACTCTTAATGTGGTCATACATCGTCTGAGGAATGGAAGACATTCAGGTTTTTAAGGGATGAAGAATGATCTCGTTTCTTGGATCAAGAGTCCTTCAGCAACATCCAGGATGTTACCTAAACATTTTACAATGTTGCAACAAGAGCTAAATTTACATAGCACATCCTTACACCTCACACAGTAACTTTATAATCAAACAAATCTATTATAAAATTTATTCTCGTCGAGAAATTGAAAATTTGTTATAAATACACAAAACTTAAATATAACTCCAGTTTATATTTTTATTACAAGTTTTTTAATCGTTATCTGACCATTACCATGACGACCGGGACGCCACAGTTTTATATATATGATCAAATAGTCTACATTGATATTATTGTTAGTAACAGAGTGCCACAGGGAGTGTTAGGGTGCCACACCACAGTGAGTCACTTTTATTGTATTGAGGGAAAGCGCTAAACACGTTGGGGGGTCATATAACGCCTGGAGGAATGGAAGGTAATCAGGTTTAATCATACCAAGGGAGGGATATGTCAAATTCCTTGGATCAAGAGCCCTCAGCGACTTATAGGAACCTCATGAGGGGGATTTTAATTATTACATTGACGAGGAAGCGCTAAACCCGAGCGAGTGACATTCTACAGAATCACAGAGGCTCTGCTGCCTTCACCCCTCAAGGAAGGTTCCTTGATGTTGGTGAGGGGCTCTTGATTTAGGGAATTGGATCTGTGCTCGTTCCCCGAATTAAGCCTGAATGCCTTCCACATCCCCCCCCCCCCAGGCGCTGTATAATCCTCCGGGTTTAGCGCTTCCCCTTGATTATAATAATAATAATAATCTGCTGCCTTCATTATATCGTTTAATATGAGGTAATTAATAATGCTCTTTGTAGTGAATAACATTGATATTATATATATATATATATATATATTTTAACTTTAGTGTTGTGACTTATGGCGAGTTTCTCGCTTTCCTGGGAACAAATGTGATCGTTTTCCATCCCTCATTCACAGTATGACTCTTATGGGTTTAGTGCTCCTTCATGATTGTACATACTACTACTTACTCTACTACAATAATAAAAATAATTTTAATAAAAATATTGTGTATTGCCTGGTGTGTGTGTACTCACCTAGTTGTGATTGCAGAGGTTGAGTCACAGCTCTGGGCCCCGCCTCTCTCCTGTTCTATACACATGCATAAAAATTTTATCCTGCACACGTCATGATAAGTCAAGCATTAGTCATGCTCATAACCCATGATATTGTAATTTTACTATACCAATACATTAATACAGTATTTGTAATAAACACAGTTCTTATTGACATATATTGGTGGTAAATTGTGGTTTTTGACCTGAGATAACCCAAAAGTCAACTTAATTAACTACTGGCAATTTTTTTGTTAAAGAAACAGAAATATGCTATTCTTTAGGTGTTCCATATATAATATATATATATTATATATATATATATATATATATATATATATATATATATATATATATATATATATATATATATATATATATATATATATATATAATTTATATTTGAGTTTCTAATGGTTGTAGTACTTATTACCCCCTCATTTTAATTTCTTCTATTTTCCCACCATTATTTATAAAGAAATTTTGAAACTGCATATTCCCTCTTAAGTTATACAAACTTTTTTTTTGTATAAAACTCATTTTTCAGGTGCCACAAGAACAGTGGAACACACTGTCTGTATGAGCCAACAGAAACATGCTTGAAAACCGAAAAGCAAAGCGACAGTTGTATCAACTTTCTTCTTGTAAACATTTTAATATAGTTTTTTTTTTCAGCTCAATGGCCTAACCTAGGGTGGCCAAACCAAGAGTACTCTAACGAACAGTAACCTAAGTTAACCTAACCTAGGGTAACCTATGTTAGTGCCAAAATGAAGGCAACAACCTAGGGTCTAACTTTAAGAAACCTAATCCAGGGTAACCTAGCCAAATCTAAGGCAAAGATAAGTTATATTTAGCTTAACTATATAGTTTAAATTTCAACAAAGATTATATCACATATATATAATTATTTTAAGCATACTGTGGTGACAAATGATCAAGATTTAGTCTATGATAGCATAACAGGCGATTTATTTCCACTGTAGGTCTCCTTTGTTTGTATCCTTCCTATCTGTGTTCCATAAATAATACTGTAAAACCTTATTTGATGGATTGCAGTTTAACAGATTTTGTATATATATATATAATAAAATTGGCTGAATCAACTGATTCAGAAATAATGGACAAAGTCCATTGGCTACAGAATTCTTCATTGATCACAAAACAACCACATTTCACTCCACGATCACCATTATCACCCCACTTGCTTTTCCCCTTATTACTCCATTAAATGGAGGCTTTACTTACTACAGATAATGAAAAAATATTATATTTAAATTTTTAAGGTTACTATATAAACTATACAGAAGCTGCTTGTATGTTAATATACAAGAAATTACCTTTATCCCTTTCTGCAATTTCATTTATTAGGCACAGTTCAACTTCAGTATTAAATTACTCTGTAATATTACTGGCCTTGCCATGATTGTTACTCATTCCAGATTTTTAGAGCTGTATGGAAGGTAGTACTTAGTTGCACATTATGTGTAATGCAAAATAATGATCACCACCTATGGTACAATATTGATTTTGGTTCCAGTTCCTTAAATTTGAGGCAAAATAGTTTGGATATAATTTGTAGCAATTTTGTAGGCATACCTCTAGTTTAATTTCACTCTGTCTTTAGCTATTGTAAACTAAAAAATATACACTTTAGTCAGAATACCAGGAACTTATTATTATATTTATGGAAAGTGTTATAAGGATCATAAGGGGATAAAGAGAGGTGGAAGTGTTGAGGGAAGATTACTGGTTGACAAAGTGGTTACAGTCCATGAAGCAATACAGTGTCAGTTAGGAAATCAAAGAGTTGATGCAGAAAAGATGGAATTTTAAGAGAGGATGGCATTCAAAGCAAGCAAGTCTGGGCATTGGAGAGGGTATCTGAAATAAAAATTGGCATGTTCTCTGACGAATAGGGTAGTTGGTTCAGAGATGTTAGATTGTCAAGGCAGTCTGATATTCCTTGCTCACCTCCTCCATAGGATGATCATATTTGAGTCTAGTGTGGTCAATGTATAGGCATGCAAGAACCATTTCCCACAACAAGAATGACAGAGGATGACCAATAGCCCAATTGTAGTTTGATGGACCATGAGCATAAATTGGGTTCTGTACTACAATAGGGTATCAAAAAAGGGTAATCAGGGGTTCAGCACTTCCCATGATAATAATAAAATCTGAAGTGTGTGTATTAGTTTTGGTTGTACAGTAGTTTAAAATTTAGTTGATAGGCTAGTTAAATTCATACAGATGAACTTCTATTATGTGATTTTGAATTTATTAGTACATAATTCTAATTATGCAATGTACATATGCCATATACAGTGATACAGTTTACAAAGTGTTTTGAAGTCTTATTATGCAGAATTAAATATCAGTGCCCTGATTAATGCTTAGTAGAGCGGGAAAAAGCCCGGGAATGTATCTACCTGTGTATCTACCTATGTATCTATCTGTGCTATAACTTAAATTGCCAGGCACACCATCTAAAGGGGACAAAAAGATACAAAACATCCAGGCCATGGGAAAACCTGGGTAGCCACAGCCACTCAAGAGGGAGAGGTTTTTTAGTGCCAGGAAGGAAAAAAAGCTGGCAGGAAATGGCAGAAATCGTAAAACCAAATCCAGTCTTCCGGGAGGGAAACCCAGTCGATGCCTCCACCCCAAAACCCAACAGATACAGATACTAATCCCGGGAAAAAAAAAAATCCCCCCCCGTACCAAAAATACCACCAGTCCGATGACTTTCCCTTTCTTTGCAAATATACGGGTCTAAACCCAACAACAAACAAAAAAAATACCTTTCTTTTCCGGGGACTGTTTGCAGAGGAAAAGGGCAATTTTCGCGGCTTCCCACTGAACCCACATAAAGGATCACTTGGCAACGAAATATGGATCCCGGGTTACAACCTATACAGATGTGACAGAGTGAAAAGGCAAAAGGGGGGGGGTTTGGGCCCTTTCATTTCAGTCACTTTTTTGCACAGAAATGCTTAATGCCTCAAATGATGTAGTGGAATTTTAGCATTTAAAGTCGAGAACCAAAACCTATCATTGGGGTAGTCACAAAACCCTCCGGTGCAACACCCACAATCCAGGGCAGCTGTTAAAAATTTACCACTGTCGAAAATCTTTCCAGCTCCTGCACCCAACATCTTTTCTCCTGGGGATTTCCCCCTTAAGGCCCTAAAATGGAGGGAAAATAGCAAAAAATATTTCTGCAGTAATAAAACCAGGAGGCAGCTCTGATGAAAATCAAAACTCACACGACTTTTAAATCTCTGCACAAAATTCAATTTTAAAACCCCAATAATAGAGCCTACTAACTGGAGAATACACTAACCTCATCTTCACTACAAGATGATCTGATAAGAAATTCACCTATCAAAAAAAATAATCGATCACAACATAATTGAGGGCAGACATGTTGGGGGGACCCCAGACCGACATAATGAGACCAGTCATGAGGGACATTCACTAAATTCAACTTCAACAACAAAAAAATAAAGTGGGACCAAGTAAAAACCCAAATCCTAACCATATAACTGGGAAAATATACAAGCAACACAGACCCCAACTTTTTGCCAGAACAGATTAACTTGGTGGCACTCGATGTATGCACAAGGCTTATTCCTCTAAGAAAAAGGAGGAGTAGATGTAAAATAGAAAGAGACAGGCGCTCCCTTTACAGGCGACGGAAAAGAATAACAGAGCGACTAAAAGAGGTCAATATATCTGAAATGCATAGGGAGACACTGGTCAGAGAAATAGCAAGCATCGAACTTAAGCTAAGGGAATCTTATAGGAGTCAGGAATTGCGGGAAGAACTAAAAGCCATAAATGAAATCGAAAGAAACCCAAAGTATTTCTTCTCCTATGCCAAATCAAAATCGAGAACAACGTCCAGTATTGGGCCCCTACTTAAACAAGATGGGTCCTACACAGATGACAGCAAGGAAATGAGTGAGCTACTCAAGTCCCAATATGACTCAGTTTTTAGCAAGCCGCTAACCAGACTGAGAGTCGAAGATCAAAATTATTTTTTTATGAGAGAGCCACAAAATTTGATTAACACAAGCCTATCCGATGTTATCCTGACGCCAAATGACTTCGAACAGGCGATAAATGACATGCCCATGCACTCTGCCCCAGGGCCAGACTCATGGAACTCTGTGTTCATCAAGAACTGCAAGAAGCCCCTATCACGAGCCTTTTCCATCCTATGGAGAGGGAGCGTGGACATGGGGGTCTTCCCACAGTTACTAAAAACAACAGACATAGCCCCACTCCACAAAGGGGGCAGTAAAGCAACAGCAAAGAACTACAGACCAATAGCACTAACATCCCATATCATAAAAATCTTTGAAAGGGTCCTAAGAAGCAAGATCACTACCCATCTAGAAACCCATCAGTTACACAACCCAGGGCAACATGGGTTTAGAACAGGTCGCTCCTGTCTGTCTCAACTATTGGATCACTACGACAAGGTCCTAAATGCACTAGAAGACAAAAAGAATGCAGATGTAATATATACAGACTTTGCAAAAGCCTTCGACAAGTGTGACCATGGCGTAATAGCGCACACAATGCGTGCTAAAGGAATAACAGGAAAAGTCGGTCGATGGATCTATAATTTCCTCACTAACAGAACACAGAGAGTAGTCGTCAACAGAGTAAAGTCCGAGGCAGCTACGGTGAAAAGCTCTGTTCCACAAGGCACAGTACTCGCTCCCATCTTGTTCCTCATCCTCATATCCGACATAGACAAGGATGTCAGCCACAGCACCGTGTCTTCCTTTGCAGATGACACCCGAATCTGCATGACAGTGTCTTCCATTGCAGACACTGCAAGGCTCCAGGCGGACATCAACCAAATCTTTCAGTGGGCTGCAGAAAACAATATGAAGTTCAATGATGAGAAATTTCAATTACTCAGATATGGTAAACACGAGGAAATTAAATCTTCATCAGAGTACAAAACAAATTCTGGCCACAAAATAGAGAGAAACACCAACGTCAAAGTCCTGGGAGTGATCATGTCGGAGGATCTCACCTTCAAGGACCATAACATTGTATCAATCGCATCTGCTAGAAAAATGACAGGATGGATAATGAGAACCTTCAAAACTAGGGAGGCCAAGCCCATGATGACACTCTTCAGGTCACTTGTTCTATCTAGGCTGGAATATTGCTGCACACTAACAGCACCTTTCAAGGCAGGTGAAATTGCTGACCTAGAAAATGTACAGAGAACCTTCACGGCGCGCATAACGGAGATAAAACACCTCAATTACCGGGAGCGCTTGAGGTTCCTAAACCTGTATTCCCTGGAATGCAGGCAGGAGAGATACATGATTATATACACCTGGAAAATCCTAGAGGGACTAGTACCGAACTTGCACACGAAAATCACTCACTACGAAAGCAAAAGACTTGGCAGACGATGCAACATCCCCCCAATGAAAAGCAGGGGTGTCACTAGCACGTTAAGAGACCATACAATAAGTGTCAGGGGCCTGAGACTGTTCAACTGCCTCCCAGCATACATAAGGGGGATTACCAACAGACCCCTGGCAGTCTTCAAGCTGGCACTGGACAAGCACCTAAAGTCGGTTCCTGATCAGCCGGGCTGTGGCTCGTACGTTGGTTTGCGTGCAGCCAGCAGCAACAGCCTGGTTGATCAGGCTCTGATCCACCAGGAGGCCTGGTCACAGACCGGGCCGCGGGGGCGTTGACCCCCAGAACTCTCTCCAGGTAACATCATAAAACAAAGGACACCTGTACTGAAGTTAGTTGCGAGTTCTTGCTACTGTACTGTGTAGTACAGGTGGTCCCTGCTTTACAGCATTTTGCTAATACAGCAGTTTTCATTTATACCAATTCTTTATTTAGTCAGACTTCCTACAGTAAATATATTCACCACTCGCTAAAGGCTAAGGACAAAAATATTTTAAAGTAGGTAATGTGTGTGTACTGTGCATGTATATGCATTTTTTAGGCCTGGCTCTATTGCTCACTTAATATATGATAGTGTAAACATGTTACCAGACTTTTATGTGCATTTGAAGGTGAAAAAAACTGTTTCACTTTACAGAGATTTTTGCTTTACAGTGGTAGCTTAGAACCTAACCTGCAATATAAGCAGGACCTTCCTGTACAGTACTGCAAATGTCCTGCTGCAAATTTCAATGGTACTATGATTTATATATAGTATTTAGTGATACAGTACTATTAATTTTTATTTTAGATGCAAAGGGAAATTTTTCTGTTGATCATATGGCAGTTTAATTTTTATTTGGATGTCAGTACTGACAATGGATCTGTCTTTGATGTTTCCAGAAAAAATCAGAAAAACATGGAGGGAGAAATTTCTTTAAAATATACATAGAGAAAAAATGAGTGCCTGCTATATTTTTGTAGCACAGTAGTACTTACATAGATATCCAGGCAGATGACAGATATTTGCTGCAGCATTTTTATCCTTGGCATTAAGTACAATACACTACATATTTCAAAATCAATACTTTGTTTTCTCCAGGTTTCCTACAGTATTAGGAAAGATGAAAGTGTCTGGAGTCATTTTGGCAATTCCAATGCTGATCAGTTGTGCATCAGCAGCTGTTCCCATTGTTATTGAAATTGATAACCTTGCAACAGAGGACTTTCAACCTCAGCAGGTTCATATTTCCATAGGAGGTAAGAAAGTTTTTATTACTCACTTTAGATTGCCTGCAAATCTGATTTCATTCCTTTCAAATTATGATACAAACCTTATGTGATGATATGCACTGAAGCAGTGTCAAGTGCAAACTCTCTTTTGTACATCATAGGCTTGCAATGTATGCAGTCAATTGTACTTCTTTTGTCTTAGTTCATAATACCCTAAAACTAAGTCTAAGGATGAGTGTGCACTATGACCATTTTCATTTTCTGAGACCAGTAACTAATGTGTGTGCATGAGTATATGCGTGCATGTGCAGTATATGTGTATGTGTATACACACATGCAAATGCAAACACATACGTATGCATGCATACATAGATATCAGTAGGGCAATTAAGGATATCTATTCTAGATGGGGTGATAGAGATATTAAGAAGATAGAGAGAATATTTTGAGGTTTTAAATGTAGAGGATGAAAGGGTAGCTGTAATTCCATGCATGGGGCAGGGTAGAATAAGATAGATCAACTAGGAGGAGGAAGTGGAAGCTAGAGGTGTATACTAGTAGTAAGGTAGTGGGAAGGTTGAAAGGGGGTAAGGTAGCAGGAATGGATGGGATTAAAACTTGAAATGCTTAAAGAAGGTGGCAATATAATTTTAGAATACCAATGTATGGAATAGGAAGTAGGTTATTGAAAGCAGTGAAAAGTTTTTATGAGGATAGTGAGGCTCAGGTTAGAGTATGTAGGAGAGTGGGAGATTATTTCCCAGTAAAAGTAGGCTTTAGACAAGGATGTGTGATGTCACCATGGTTGTTCAATATATTTATAGATGGGGTTATAAGAGAAGTGAATGCTTGGGTGTTGGCAAGAGGTGTGGAGTTAAAAGATAAAGAATCTAACATAAAGTGGGAGTTGTCACAGTGGCTCTTTGCTGATGACACTGCTTTTGGGAGTTTCTGAAGAGAAGCTGCAGAGGTTGATGGATGAGTTTCATGGGGTATGTAAAAGAAGAAAATTAAAAGTGAATATAGGAAAGAGTAAGGTGATGAGGATAACAAAAAAATTAGGTAACGAAAGATTGGATATCAGATTGGAGGGAGAGAGTATGGAGGAGGTGAATGTATTCAGATATTTAGGAGTGGACGTTTCACCAGATGGGCCTATGAAAGATGAGGTGAATCACAGAAGTGACAAGGGGAAAAAGGCGAGTGGTGTGCTGAGGAGCCTGTGGAGACAAAGAACTTTGTCCATGGAAGCGAAGAGGGGAATGTATGAGAGTATAGTTATACCAACACACTTATATGGTTGCAAAGCATGGGTGGTGAATATTGCAACAAGGGGAAGACTGGAGGCAGTGGAGATGTCATGTCTGAGGGCAATTTGTGGTGTGAATATAATACAGAGAATTTGTAGTTTGGAAATTAGGAGGTGCGGGATTACCAAAACCATTATCCAGAGGGCTGAGGAGGGGCTGTTGAGGTAGTTTGGACATGTAGAGAGGATGGAACAGAATATAATGACTGAGTATATAAATATGTAGTGGAGGGAAGGCAGGGTAGAAGTCAGCCTAGGAAAGGTTGGAGGGGGTAGAGAAGGTTTTGTGAGCAAGGGGCTTGGACTTCCAGCAAGCATGCATGAGCGTGTTAGATAGGAGCGAATGGAGACAAATGGTTTTTAGGACATGACGTGTTGTTGGAGTGTGAGCAGGGTAATATTTATGAAGGGATTCAGGGAAACTGGCAGGCTGGACTTGAGTCCTAGAGATGGGAAGTACAGTGCCTGCACTTTGATATTATAATCAGGGGGAGCACTAAACCCGTAGGATTATGCAGTGCCTGTGGGGGGATGTGGAAGGTATTCAGGCTTAATTTAGGGAACTGGAGCAGAGATCCAGTTCCATACATCAAGAGCCCCTCACCAATATCAAGGATCCTTCCTTGAGGGGACCTGCACTCTGAAGGAGGGGTGTTAATGTTGCAGTTTTATAACTGTAGTGTAAGCACACCTCTGGCAAGAGTGATGGAGTGAATGATGGTGAAAGTTTCTTTTTTGGGCCATCCTACCTTGGTGGGAAATGGCCAATGTGTTAATAAAAAAATAACTTAGTGCATTTACATACTATATGAGTGAAAGAAGAAAAGGTTTGTAAAGTTTTGAAGAGAGCATGCATATTTCCTTTAGGCTATTTTAAGTAAAAGGGGACAAAAGTGTGTATAAGAATTATAAGAAAGTAAGACTATTGAGTATACTGAGTATAGTGTATGGCAGAATTAATGTTACAAGAATTAAGGGAATGATTACAAGTAGAAATATGGTACAGTGTACAGTAGACATCATAAATATACATGTCCATAAGGATACTATTTGAATGATAGATAAAGTAAGTGCCAAAAACACAAAGAATTAACTAAATTATTTTGATTTTTTTCCGTACTTTAATGACTGGACTGTAAACTCACAGGACTTAAATTCGACAGAGAATGTTACCCCTTGACTGTTGCAACCCCCAAATCCTGAGGTGTCTCCTGGTGTTGCAAAATTTCCAAAAAAAAAAAAAAAAAAAAAAAATTATTTTTTTCTTATGAAATGATAGAGAATCTTTTTCCGATTGTAATGACACCAAAAGAACAAAATTTGATGGAAAACTGACAGAATTAAGCTTTCATGAAGTTAGCGACCTAGGCGATATTCACCCTTTCAGGGTTTCAGCCGTACTAGTACGGCTTGCAAGGGTTTTTGATGCACTAGTACGCCTAAATTGTAACGCCCTCAAATCTAGTGAGAGAAAGCTGGTAGGCCTACATATGAAAGAATGGGTCTATGTGGTCAGTGTGCGTGGTATAAAAAAAATCCTGCAACACACAGTGCGTAATGAGAAAAAAAAACTTTGACCGTGTTTTTGGATTAAAACAGTGGCTTTGCACTGTATTTTCATATGGTATTTATTGTTGTATTCTAGCTTTCCTGGTCTCATTTTATAGAATGGAAGATATATTACAGAACTTGAGATGATTTTGACTGGTTTTACAAAGAAAAGTAACTTGAAATTGAGCTCAAAGTAGCAGAAATGTTTGATTTTTACCAAAGTTCAAAAGTAAACAAATCATGCTATGCATCCAATACACATCAACTGGTGAGTCTAATATTCTTTCACAAGTGCGCTGATATTATTTATACCATTTCTACACCAATGCAGTAGTCTGCATAAAAGTAAATCTTCTGTTTTTTTGTAAGAATAAAAATTCAAAGTGGAAAGCAAAAGAATGTAAGAGGGGCATGGGAATGTGACTAATGAACAGAGAACTCGTTATTTTAGTGCCAAGAATGTCTTTCTTGTTTATTCTGGACCCTATTTGGAAATTGGGATCTTTTGAGATTTGTGTGAAATTGGCAAAATTGCTAAATTCTGACCGCTGTATTGGATAGTTGAAATCGGTAAATGGGTGGTTTCTTGTACTCATTCGATAGAAAAAAATGGAGTTCTAGCGAAATAGTTATGATTTTTGTCGACAAGTACACTGGAATTGGCCGAAATAGGGCTCAAAGTGGGCAAAATCGCCGATGCGTAAACATCGTCGAGACCACTAACTTCGCGAGAGCATAATTCCGCAAGTTTTTCATCAAATTTCATACTTTTGGTGTCATTATGATCGGGAAAAGATTCTCTGTCTTTTCATAAAAAAATTTTTTTTTTTTTTTTTAAATTTGGCTGACCCTGAGAACAAGTCTCTGAGAGGGCCTGTCGACCCTGAAAGGGTTAATGAATTGGAGATTTCGCCCACTTTGAACCCTATTTTCGGCTAATTCCATTGTTCCAGTTGACCAAACTCATAGCTATTTCTTTAGAACTCCATTTTTTCTATCGATTGAGTACAAGACTCTGCCCATTTACTGATTTCAACTACCCAATAATGTGGTCAGAAATTTGCAATTTGGCCAATTTCACGAAAATTAAAAAATACGACAATTTCAAAATAGGGTCTAGAATGAACAATGCAGACATTCCTGGCTCTAAAATAACATTTTCTTTGTTTATCAGTCACGTCTCCAGGCCCCTCTGATATTACTCTTGCTTTCTATTTTGAATTTTTATTCAAACAAAAAATAGAAGATTTACTATTATGCAGACTACTGCAATATTGTAATAATTGTATAAATATTGTCAACCCATTCATGACTGCATATTAGAATGGCTACTTGGACATTTATTGGAAAATGACATCATTTGTTTACTTTTGAACATTGGCAAAAATCAAACATTTCCCCTACTTTGAGCTTCATTTCAAGGTTCTTTTCATAGTACAACCAATCAAAATCACCTCTATTTCTATAATGTATTTTCCATTCTATGAGACCAAGAAAACGAGAATACAACCATAAATACTAGATGAAAATAGACCACAAAGTCGGCATTTTAATTAAAAAAAAACGGTCTGAGTTTTTTTTCTCATTATGCACTGTGTGTAGCAGGATTTTTTTATATGGTGCACACTGACCACATAGACCCATTCTCTCACATGTGGGCCTACCAGCTTTCTCCTGCTTGATTTGAAGCCGCTAGAATTTATGAGTATATATATGTCAAAAACGGTGGCTCGTAAGACGTACATGTATAGATATGACCGAAACAGTCAAAGGGTTAAAAACTTATCAAGCGTAAGCTTTGTGGCATGGACATGTCATCTAACCCCAAAATTTTGAGTGCCATTAAGCAGGTACAGAGGGTAATGATTTTTCTGTCCTTCATAAGTTAACCTTATCAGTGCCTAGGTGATATAAGGAGTGCATCAAGAGGAAAGGTAATCCTACAGAATGCTAGTTGAGGTGAGGAACACATACATATTTCAGTATTATATATTTAATGGGTTATTGTAAGTGGTCTCATTTTCTGTATGATCTGTTAGTGTGTGTGCATATTTATGACACCTACTGTAGGCATATGTTAACTATATTTAAATTTTATTTCAGAATCCAACCTAGACATGGTGATCACCTGGTTAACAGTAAATGAAACGCCTTCATCAGTAGTCGAATTTGGGACAACAGATTTGAGCAACTCTACATTGGGCAGCAGGAAGGAATTTACTGATGGAGGCGATGAACACCGGCAGATGTGGATACATAGAGTGACTCTGAAGACCTTGCAGCCAAATACTACATACTGTATGTTAATGTATAATACATGTACTGCACTGTATTATGCTGCAACACTTGGCATTTTGAGTTATGTACAGTCAGTCCCATAGTAATTTTAAATAGCAACTGAAAACCCTAAGACCTTGCTCTTGGAGCAAATTTTTCAGTCATACAAGTACCTCTTATGTCAGGCAAAACCTATTGAATTTTGACTCTCTTTCCTCAGCTTTTTGATAAAAATTGCATTTTTTTTTGTATTTATGCTCTGCTTTTTTTTATATAATTAAGTAAAAATGTTAATTTACACACATACACATGCATGCACATACATATTGGTGTCACAAACACTGATTGATAAACATTACACAAAACCAATACAGTAGCATTTTATTTTTGTTATGTAGGCATAAAAACAATAGTGTGGAGACCATAATCTAATCAGTGAGCAAGAAAAAGCGAGTTCACAAAAGCTCACTCACATAGCTCATTTTAGGTGGGAACACTTTTAATGTGGACATGTGTTCAGGCGATATTTCTCATCCTTGGCAAGATAACTTTGATAAGTGACATGTGTTCAGGCGATATTTCTCATCCTTGGCAAGATAACTTTGATAAGTACAGGACTCGTATATTGTATAAAATTCTAGATGTCTATGATGGTTAAGATATGGTACATGTGTTATATTATCTGTTTGAAAAATTATGAAAAATATGTTCCTGTGATGGGCACCATGATACCCATAATGGAATATATTGTATATGATTTACTACACTGACCATTTCCCTCCAAGGAAGGGTGACCCAATGAAGAAAAAATAGTCTTCCTCACTCAATCAGTAGTTGTCTTTCCAGAACTAAAAAAATATATGAGCTACAAAGAAAGGGTAAGGGCATTTAATATGCCTTACTGGCTGATTGAAGGAAAAATGAGACATAACCACATGAGAGATTATACAGTCAGTTCTCGTATAAAGCTCCTCTATATAGTGTGATTTTTTAGTAAATGTAATTGAAAAAGTACATTGAAAATTGAGTAGCCTGTTCTATGAATGCCTTTTAATGTGCTTTTTCAATCACATTTACATAAAAATCACACTATATAGAAGAGCCTTACAAGAAATTACTGTTGTAATAGGATACAGAAAAACTGATAAAAGTTTCTAATCCCATCACAGTGAAGTAGAAGATTAATGTATTGGAAATTCATAATTTTTTTGATCAGTTATATAACAGAGATGGAGCACCATCTTTGGTACTGTATTTAATTACTGTACATACTTATACTTGAATCCAACCCCTCTAGTATATGTACATTAACTATACTCATGTGCTTGCCTGTTGTTGTATGTTCTGGTGCTTGTGTACGCATGTAACAGCATGGTCTACTCACCTCCCAGGATGTCATTACCAACACAGTAAAGTGTTCAAGTATGAACTTTACTCCGGGTAGAGTGTAGAAATTCTCTTGCGTACAGTTGCTGGCACATATTTCTTGGGTTCTTGTCTGATGGAGTTACCCATCTAGATTCTATCTGCTCAAGAGTTGCTTCTGTTTTTGGATACTTATGGTATGATTCCAGGTTGACCCCAAGTGCCCCTGATGTAGAAAAGCAGCTTTCAGGGTTCAAAATGTTCTTGTTACTTTATATATATTTAATTATTTTACTTTGTTTGAGCATACAAAATCATGTTCAATCTTCTATTTCTTTTCATGCGGTACAAAAACAATGTAGTTTACATATAATACAACATTGTTAGGCACGAAAGAAAGATACTGGTATGCAGTGCATTTCGGACAGTTCATTATTAGTTTTATTTTCAACAGTTTACCATTGTGGAAGTCCTCTTGGCTGGTCTGAGATTTTTTTCTTCAAGACTTGGAAAAATGGAACTGACTGGCCCGTTTCTGTTGCCATGTATGGGGACATGGGAGCTGTCAATGCACAGTCTCTCTCTAGGTAAGTATGTACTGTAGTATGTTATTTAACATTTAATGTGACATGAAATGCTAGGAATTTCTGGCAAACAATGGGAAAACTGCAAAAGATGTTTAGTGGAATAGTAATCCAAGCTTTGTTTCATAAGGAACAGTTTTTGTAAGGCAAATTGTACTTCGGTTTGTGATTTGGTAATATTGAAATTATTTTGTTAATTATTGTAGTTTTGAATGAAATGAGGATTACAGGCATACCTCATTAATACGGCGCTTGCTCTAGAGTGCCTCGCTAATACGGCACTTTTCAGTTATGTTCATGTTTATTATTTTTGGCACTTGCCGTGCTCTTAAGATGGTTTTTGACAATTTTTCATTATTTTTACTTTTGCATTGTTTTTTGAGTGCTGTATGACCCTTGTAGGTTTAGCACTTCTTTTTATCATAATAATTATTTTTCGAGGCCTATTGCTTTTGTGCACAAATAAATTTAAGTATAAAGATCTTTTTAGGCTTTTATATGCCCTGGCAAATGAAAAAAAAGCTGCAATTCACTGGAAGGCAATATTCACTTTACGACCACTGTCGTAAAGTGAATACCGCCTGACCCCCTGTAGTATTAGTGAGGTATGCCTGTACAGTGGTCCCTCGAGTTACGACATTAATCTGTTCCAGATGTATCGTACCTCAAAACTAGCATAACTCAAGCCCCAAAATATATGGCTTTACAGTAATTTGTTACAAGTTGCCAGAATCTTCCCTTGCTCCTGGCATTTCACTTGCCTCTTACAACATGCATGACTTACAGAGGAGGGATTCTTCTCCACTTCCCCATGGAGAATCACTATATATGTTCATTATATCTAAAAAAAATTAACTTAGATAACGTCTTTGCCTTAATTGTAATCCTTGTAAATATAGATGATGTAATGACAGTGTCTTCTGTAAGACATCTTAGTACCTTGATGTTGTTGTCTGTTCTTAGTGTATTCTCATTGACTATTTCAGGCTGCAGGAGGAGACACAGAAGGGAATGTATGATGCTATAATTCATGTTGGAGACTTCGCTTATGACATGGACTCAGTTAGTATCTACATATCAGTCAGTCTTTGTGTTTCTCCAGTAATTTTCTTTATGCTTACGACAAAGTACTAATCCCTTAGAAGTCAGCTAGTGCCTGGGGAATAGGAGGCAATTAAGTTGGGTTCAAGGAAACAGCGAGGTGGCTCCAATTCCTTGGTATATAGAGCCCTTTTCCCCTCTAAAGAATTTTTTCTTCACTACCAATAATGAAGAAAAAAGGAAGGAACACTTCATCATCACTCACTCCATCACTGTCTTCCCAGAGGCAAGACAGTTAATAGATACTGCACAATATTACTTTAATACATCATTTTCTGTTTTATTTTTTTATATATCTGAAAGTTTTGAAGATTCAGTGAGTAGTTATAACTTTTAAGATTGCAGACTACATTTTGACTTGATTACCACAAGAGCAAACAAGTCAGAACTTATTCCAGTTTGTGATTGCCAGTATCTGTTTGTAAAATATCGGCACATAGTGCTACAAAGTGTGAGAATAACAAGTGAACAACTTCTTACACTGAAAGAACGATCACGCCATATATATCTCCTGCACAATTTTCCTAAACGAGTATCTTTGGCTAGCCAATTTCTTAAAAACTTTATTATAATTCAGTAATGCAGAGAGTGACTGAAAAGGTGAATTAAAAAATTTAGATTTACCTAAAATAGCATAATAGAGGCATTACAAAACTATTGGTGCTACTGTATTTACTCAAAAATTTTCTAATCTTGCAGCAAGCTAATCTAGGTTTACAAATAAAGCATTGTGACTGTATATGATGTAAACTGTTCTGTATGCAATAATGAATATTCAGAAAGTTATCCTAACTCTTTAATAGTAATACATTGTTTTATTTTTAATTAGGACAATGCTCGTGTTGGTGATGAGTTCATGCGACAGATTCAACCAATTGCTGCCTATGTTCCATATATGACCTGCCCGGGTAATCACGAACAAAAGTAGTAAGTCTCCAATTTCTTTCATAACTTTGACTCTTAGTATATAAACCCATCATTGTTTTAAACTAATAATTGCCAATATCAAATTAGTGGTTATCAGTATTAGATATCCAGTGCTGATGGAGGGGAGTGGGAAAGGTTTTCAATAATGCCAGATAACACTGCTTTAACCCTGTCTCCTGTATAAAGTACTAAATTTAAAAAAAATGAAACTTTCATTTTTCTTTTTAGGCCACCCTGCCTTGGTGGGATATGGCCAGTTCGTTAAAAAACTCATTATGATCGCATTTTTCTTTGCACATCATTTTTAGTATTTTGGACATTTTTTTTTTTTTTTCAACAAGTCGGCTGTCTCCCACCGAGGCAGGGTGACCCAAAAAAGAAAGAAAATCCCCAAAAAGAAAATCCTTTCATCATCATTCAACTCTTTCACCACACTCACACATTATCACTGTTTTTGCAGAGGTGCTCAGAATACAACAGTTTAGAAGCATATACGTACATATAAAGATATACAACATATCCCTCCAAACTGCCAATATCCCAAACCCCTCCTTTAAAGTGCAGGCATTGTACTTCCCATTTCCAGGACTCAAGTCCGACTATATGAAAATAACTGGTTTCCCTGAATCCCTTCACTAAATATTACCCTGCTCACACTCCAACAGATCGTCAGGTCCCAAGTACCATTCATCTCCATTCACTCCTATCTAACACACTCACGCACGCTTGCTGGAAGTCCAAGCCCCTCGCCCACAAAACCTCCTTTACCCCCTCTCTCCAACCCTTTCGAGGACGACCCCTACCCCGCCTTCCTTCCCCTATAGATTTATATGCTTTCCATGTCATTCTACTTTGATCCATTCTCTCTAAATGACCAAACCACCTCAACAACCCCTCTTCTGCCCTCTGACTAATACTTTTATTAACTCCACACCTTTTCCTAATTTCCACACTCCGAATTTTCTGCATAATATTTACACCACACATTGCCCTTAAACAGGACATCTCCACTGCCTCCAACCGTCTCCTCGCTGCTGCATTTACCACCCAAGCTTCACACCCATATAAGAGTGTTGGTACTACTATACTTTCATACATTCCCTTCTTTGCCTCCATAGATAACGTTTTTTGACTCCACATATACCTCAACGCACCACTCACCTTTTTTCCCTCATCAATTCTATAATTAACCTCATCCTTCATAAATCCATCCGCCGACACGTCAACTCCCAAGTATCTGAAAACATTCACTTCTTCCATACTCCTCCTCCCAATTTGATATCCAATTTTTCTTATCTAAATCATTTGATACCCTCATCACCTTATCTTTTCTATGTTCACTTTCAACTTTCTACCTTTACACACATTCCCAAACTCATCCACTAACCTTTGCAATTTTTCTTTAGAATCTCCCATAAGCACAGTATCATCAGCAAAAAGTAACTGTGTCAATTCCCATTTTGAATTTGATTCCCCAAAATTTAATCCCACCCCTCTCCCGAACACCCTAGCATTTACTTCCTTTAGAACCCCATCTATAAATATATTAAACAACCATAGTGACATTACACATCCCTGTCTAAGACCTACTTTTACCAGGAAGTAGTCTCCCTCTCTTCTACACACCCTAACCTGAGCCTCACAATCCTCATAAAAACTCTTTACAGCATTAAATAACTTACCACCTATTCCATATACTTGCAACATCTGCCACATTGCTCCTCTATCCACTCTATCATATGCCTTTTCTAAATCCATAAATGCAATAAAAACTTCCCTACCTTTATCTAAATACTGTTCACATATATGCTTCAATATAAACACTTGATCTACACATCCCCTACCCACTCTGAAACCTCTTTGCTCATCCGCAATCCTACATTCTCTTACCCCTAATTCTTTCAATTATAACCCTACCGTACACTTTTCCTGGTATACTCAGTAAACATATCTCTTTAAATATCACTAACTGTGTTTGCATATACAGTAGTTTCATAAGAAACTAGTACCAAAAAATTATGAACATATACATTCACCATTTTCCTTATAAAAAATGAATGCACATGATAAAGAAACAACACTAGAAAAACTGACAAAATAGTATCATGGAACCCAGCTCATAGAAGATAACTGGACATATTTACACCTGCTGCCTCTTTTCATCTAGCAGTTTATAGATACTATACCTAGGAGTTAGTTGCCTGTTATTAGTCACATCTTAGGAAAACACGTGGTTTGTGCAGTAGAGCAGTCAACAGATGTAGCCCTCAAGGAAACAGGGTAGTTAATAGGATTCAGCCTAGGAAGAGCCTCATAAACTCAAGAAAGAACCAAGTCTTACCATCCTAGAGCTGCAGAGAGCAGGTGGCCCCATGGTAAAATGGGGCCATGATCTGAGAAGTACATGAGATTGTTTCATTATCACCAGAGAGAGTCTTCTGTAATTCAATGTGAAACTGGATCTCTGTACAGTACTCTGCCTAGGGCTGAGCTGGCATTGGAATAAAGCAAGTAAAGAAGGCATCCTTCAAGGTTGAAAGACCCTGCCTTTGCTTACACACAAACACCATGAAAAGCAACTGCAGACAAGAACATGTTGAGGCCACAAGCTCCTAGATCAGTCTGGCCGTCAAAGCTGCTCCTGAATGTCTACAGAGCCCAGCACCCCAAATGCCATAATTAAACCAGGAGAGGTGTGCTGGAGACACTAAGGCTGATTTGGCATGGTTGTGTAAGGGAGTTAAGTCATTTGTATTTAAGGACCCAACTACCCTGGGGAGACCAGTGACGATGACCAAAGATCCTAGCATTTGTTCCTATACTGTTATTGCTAGCATATGGAATGCCTGCCTGATAAAGAAATTCAACTAATCTATCAGAGTATTTGAAACAACAATGAACTTACAGTTGTTGTGGTAATACAGGATGCTCAGAAGAAAAAGTCTAATGTTGTTAGCTTCAGGGAATCTAAAGAGAAGATTGGAGCACCATCTGGAATTTGAAAAGAGAACACAGAACAAACCCACCTCAAGAGTAAATGTGGGTATGGCAGTCTCAGTGGAGAGGCGAAGTGTATACACCATCACAGGAATATTCAGCAGTCATTGAGTATTTGTAGATGAATGGTTCAGAGAACCGACATGTTGATAAATTAGACACATGTGCAACTCTTGGGTATCTTTATTGAGGAAACGTTTGGACTGACCACATCGACTCAAGGTTGAGGGACTGATTACCTCATTCTCCTCCTGTTCTTCAAGATTCTCCTTTGTATGGACTGATGAAGCCACTGTGTGGCGAAACGTTTCCTCAATAAAGATACCCAAGAGTTGCACATGTGTCTAATTTATCAGTCATTGAGTAGTAAGCCATGAAGCAGATGACAAAGGGCATGTTGCACCAGAACCAAACCCAGTACGTACTTGTAAGGAAGCAGGTAACCACATGAAATATAGAGAGTCTCCACATATGAGAAGCCAAGAAGATATGCCACAACAGGAAGGTAAGCTGTTAAAAAAAAAAAAAAAAAAAAAAAAAAAAAAAAAAAAAAAAAAAAAAAGCAGACGAGATATAGAAAAGGGTTAGATGGAAGTATGTGAAGCTAGGGTAGGAAGGATACAAGAAGTAGGTGATGGCAGTGGAGAAAAAAATTAATAAGGGATAGATGCTGGCAATTTATAAACAGGGAAGGAGAGAGGATAAATGCTTTTAAGTCTGCAGCTCACTTTTGTAATCAGATTCTTGGAGGGCACTACAGGCCATTCAATTGGTTGATTCCAAGCATCTCACCACCGTTCACATTCATTGTTGGCTGTGCTGCATCTTTAGCAGACACACAAAAAATTGTCTTTTGTTTGGCCACATGGGAGCTAGAGGAAATGAACTTAGAGGCTTCTGTGCATTCTTCATTCAGGACAATTTAATCTTCAGCTCTAATATATACAGACTTTGCAAAAGCCTTCGACAAGTGTGACCATGGCGTAATAGCGCACAAAATGCGTGCTAAAGGAATAACAGGAAAAGTCGGTCGATGGATCTATAATTCCCTCACTAACAGAACACAGAGTAGTAGTAGTCAACAGAGTAAAGTCCGAGGCAGCTACGGTGAAAAGCTCTGTTCCACAAGGCACAGTACTCACTCCCATCTTGTTCCTCATCCTCATATCTGACATAGACAAGGATGTCAGCCACAGCACCGTGTCTTCCTTTGCAGATGACACCCGAATCTGCATGACAGTGTCTTCCATTGCAGACACTGCAAGGCTCCAGGCGGACATCAACCAAATCTTTCAGTGGGCTGCAGAAAACAATATGAAGTTCAACGATGAGAAATTTCAATTACTCAGATATGGTAAACACGAGGAAATTAAATCTTCATCAGAGTACAAAACAAATTCTGGCCACAAAATAGAGCGAAACACCAACGTCAAAGACCTGGGAGTGATCATGTCGGAGGATCTCACCTTCAAGGACCATAACATTGTATCGATCGCATCTGCTAGAAAAATGACAGGATGGATAATGAGAACCTTCAAAACGAGGGATGCCAAGCCCATGATGACACTCTTCAGGTCACTTGTTCTATCTAGGCTGGAATATTGCTGCACACTAACAGCACCTTTCAAGGCAGGTGAAATTGCTGACCTAGAAAATGTACAGAGAACCTTCACGGCACGCATAACGGAGATAAAACACCTCAATTACTGGGAGCGCTTGAGGTTCCTGAACCTGTATTCCCTGGAACGCAGGCGGGAGAGATGCATGATTATATACACCTGGAAAATCCTAGAGGGACTAGTACCGAACTTGCACACGAAAATCACTCACTACGAAAGCAAAAGACTTGGCAGACGATGCAACATCCCCCAATGAAAAGCAGGGGTGTCACTAGCATGTTAAGAGACCATACAATAAGTGTCAGGGGCCCGAGACTGTTCAACTGCCTCCCAGCATACATAAGGGGGATTACCAACAGACCCCTGGCAGTCTTCAAGCTGGCA